TTTAGGGTTTTAGGGTTTTAGGGGAGAAGGTTAGGAAGATTATTGATAGTGTACTTGTATAGCCCCGATATACTTATATATTGCCGTTGACATATATGATATACCCGGGAATCCGATTCTAACCAATAAGGCCGGCCCGAAAATTTGTAAAGCAACCTATGGCTTTGAGCGCCATGCTTTAGACCTTCATCCCAAACCCTAAACCTGGACTCTAAACCCTGAACCCTAAACCCCAATGCTACACCCTAGACCCTAAACCCTGGAGGCTTTACGACTTCGGTTCGATTGATTCTGTGAGACCCTCATCCTAAACCCTAAACCCTAGACGGCTCAGAGTTTAGGGTTTAGGGTTTGGGCCTCATTGCAATTAGAAAGAAGCCCTAATCATGGAGACTATGCTGGTCAGGCTCGATTCTCTGCGGAGACCCCCTGCCTCAGGTTTCGGGGGCTTGTTTATCAAACTCCTGCCCTAAACCCTAAACCCCCAACCGTGAACCCTAAACCCTATAAACCCTGAACCTAAACCCTAAACCCTGAACCCTAAACCCCCAACCATGAACCCCAAACCCTCAGGGCTCGTGTCCTTGGCTTCATGCCGTTGTAGTACTACGGTTGATGATGATGAGATATATATATATATATAGCCTGCATTACCCATAACAAGGACTAGACCATAATTCCCGTAGTTTAGTGTCCTCAAGGCAATGCAGGATTTATATCATCAACAGTAGTGCTACCATTGTTGCTACTATCACAAGTTCAACTTTCAGCGTGTATCACTGCTACTATCTTTATAATTGCTACAAGTAGTGGTAATACTGTTAAGCCTTTACCCAGGGGCTCCAATGCAGTTCCTTTTTGGGTCTGTTGTGGTTCTTTGGTAAGGAATTATAGTATACTGTCCAAAAAGGAACTACATAGGAGCCCTTGGGTAGATGCGGAGGACGCTAGCGGGTCTCAAATAGTCTGCAAAAAACGGTGCTATTAGTATAGGCAGGTAGATAGATAGATAGATAGATAGATAGATCGATAGATAGATGGATAGATAGATAGATAGACAGTTCATAAAGCGAAATATGGGTGATATCGCAGCCTTCGTTGAGGAGTCTGTTCGAAATTCTGCCAGCCACGTGGATCTTTCGGCGCCGCCACCTCCCTTAATTCCAGACACCACGGACCGCCTCACCGACGATGAGGAGCTCACTGGGTGCTGTTTCAATCTCCGTCATGACATGGGGGTTTCCGAAAATAGGGGACCCTAATATAGTACCCTAAATAGTAGGATTCCTTTTATAAGGACCCCAAAATAAGGTACCCCCCCTCCCCCTCGCAATTTTCGGAAACTCCCACATACACCAAAAAGGGGACATTGAAATTACTCCCGATGCCCTAAACCCCAACACATGAACCCCTTCCGCTAGTTTTGGTTTCTCGGTCTAGGGGGCTTGTAGTCACCTGATGAAAAACATGCAGACCCCCGAAAGCCCCAAATCCTGAAAGCCCCGACTTCTGAGACAGAAGCCCCCAACATTGAGGGACCCACAAAGGACATCGGCATGAGCACTTCCCATGGGCTATCCCTACTTTATTCGCCTTCATTATAAGGGGGTTTATATGGGATAGCCCTATCCTAGATGTTGCTTATGTGTTTTTGTGGGCCCCTGGTAACATGCACCAAATTTCGAAAAGCGATGCGTAAGATCGCCGTTGTACCGATAGTATCCATTGTAGTTCCTTTTTGTAAGGGTTTAGGGTTCAGGGTTTAGGGTTCAGGGTCTAGGGTTTAGGGTTTGTATTTTTTGGATCCTATAAGGTAACCTGAAAAACGAACTACCCTGGAGACTGTAGGTAGTTCCTTTTTTGGGTGAGCCGGCTTATGATTGCAAAGGAACTACAGTTGAGACTTCAGGTGCACCTGCTTCAGGCCGAATTTACGTAGTGGCCTATTGAAAGGGTGCTTTCAGCACCTTTCTTGCTCGCCTCCATCTTTTTCTGTGTGTTATCTGCAGCACCGGTATGGGGAGGACGTACAGAAAGTACGCACAAAGGGATCGCAGTTCTTGTCAGTTTTTTCTAGCAACACCCTAAATCCGAATACACCAAACAAATCTATAAAAGCCTAAACTCCTGACTTTCTACCAACGCCCAAAACCCTACGACCCCTAAAATCCTAAAGCCCTGCACCCCCCAGGCCGTAGAGCAAGAAATTCCCGAGGATGTCGGGGACCTCGTGGACGAAGCGAGTTTGCAGCAAGTGCCTTGGAATGGTCGATGCGAAAAGCGGTTACTTAAACCCTCAACCCCTCTCGGCGCCTGAACCCCAAAAACCCTAAACACCTTATACCCTATAGCCTTTCGGCCCTAAACCCTGCCAGTTGGTTTGTGGGGTTCAGGGGGCGTCCGAGTCGTCGGGGGCTGTTACAATGCTGTAGACTTGTCTAGTGGCCTTATAGGGGCTTTAGATGTTTCGGGTTTCAAAATTTACGAAAAGCGTATCAGTCTATCTTAGGAGTGTGACGACCATCCACGCCGCCATGGCCACAACAAGGCCCGGCAGGAAATTGCGCTAAGCTCTTAGGCTCCGCTGTGTGTAGCGTGTGGAGGTTCAGGGCGCCAACAAGCTTGTTTAAGCTGTACCTCAAACCCTGATCATAGGTTCCCTGGCCCCCTAACCATAGGCTCCATTGTAATTAGTTCCTGTTTGGGATTTCCTTATAGGATTCTTAATACAAGCCACCAAAAGGAACTACAATGGAGCCGATGGGTAACCATAGTTAAGTACGTAAGAGTAGGTCATAAGTGACAGTGATACTTAGGTGAAGCACCGCGAAATCTTCAGGTCCTGTATCTGCACCAAGCCGCGCAGCCCCGCTGTTTGGGACGGGCTTGCTGGCCCTAAACCCTAAGCCCCAAACACCAAACCTAAACCCTCAACCCAAACCTTGTTTGAACCCTAAACCCTCGACCCCCACCCCCAAACCCTAAACCCTTTCTTCTGATTTCAGGATTACTCCTTTTGGGTTCGATAACCTTCTTGTCATGCTTGAGGGAGATGCACGGGTGGCTGAGCCATCCTGAAATCCTCAGACGCCAATCTTGGGGGCCTGATGTTGAGAAAAGCAAAGAATCAAAGACAGCAAGGGGGACATAAGCCAGCCCAAAAAGCCGTCGCTAAATCGTAAATTGCTCTTGAAATCCTCTGCAAAAAAAGCACTTAAAGACTCAGTTGTAGAAAGCCTTGGCTAAACGAAGCCGCCTAAATCCTGACTCTAAACCCTAAACCCAAACCCCTAACCCCCCCAAAACCCTAAACCCTACGCCTCTGAACTCCTAAACCCTAACTATACCCAAACCCCCAAAACCCGAAACCCTGCCCCTCTGAACTCCTAAACCCTCAACTCGAATCCGAAGAAGCCCCCTAAATCCGAAAACTTTTCAAGCTCCCAAGACCGAAGCCGAAAAAGCCCCGGACCGAAACCTAAAACCTAAAACCTGAAACCCTAAACCCTAACCCATAAACCCTAAATATTACCTACACTATTTTGAGGGTTCCTAAATATAGTTATAGTATGACATACCCCCAAAACTCTATTCTAATTATTATTACTATTATAAGGCCCCTATATATTATGCCCATAAGCCCCAAAGCCTAAGACGCCCAAAGCCGCCAGATGGGCTCCGTGCTGGAGCCTTTTCCCGAGCCTCCGGGGTTGGCGCCACCGGCAGAGCCGCCGGCGGAGCCGCCGGAGCTATGCCCGGAGGCCTTTTCTGTAGGGGTTTAGGGCTTATAGGGTTTATAGGGTTTAGGGTTTAGGGTTTAGGGTTTCGGGGGGGTATCGGGTTTGGACTTCTGTAGGGGTTTGCCTGCAGTCTCCATTGTAGTTCCTTTTTGGGGATACCTTATAAAATCCTTAATGAATATTTGGTTAACCCAAAAAAAGGAACTACAATGGAGACTATAGGTAGGGCTTATAGGGTTTAGGGGGGGTATCGGGTTGGGACATGAGACAGACACCGACGTAGGCAAAGTTTGTCCCTTTATAGGACTTAGGAGTCTAGTTAATCTCTGCCAAGACCTGCCAGGCAGCATGGGCTCCGTCTCTTTGGAGAGATGGTGAGGAAGACGATCCTCCTTCCACCGGACGCGACCTGATTCTCTTGTTTAGGGGCTGGGGTTTAAGGTTTCGGATTTGGGGTTGCATTGGAAAATTTGTTCAGGGTGTCTGGCTGTTTGTCGTTCGTTGTTTCTGCTTTGTCTTGGTATTCAGATGCGAATGGCGCCAGATGCTTCTCCGTGCAGCTGTCTGAAATCAAACTTTAGTAGTTGTTTTTCGGGTGTATGGCGAAGCTGCTCATTAAACGTATAGTTCCTGATGCTGTGTTCATGGCTCGCAACTTAGTAGTGTGTTGCGTTCGTTATAGGTAGTCCCGCAGACTCTCTCAAATACTTGCGACCTACAATGTTATCCTAAACCCAAGTACCTTATGATTAGGTCCTCTGGACCCATTAAGCGAAGGTTGATCTTTTAGAGAAAGGGCCCCCCAACCCGCATTCCTTCGTTTCATGTTCGGGCCCCTGATAGGAATCCTCACGGAACCCTGTTTAGGAACCCTTAGGATAAGCCCTAAACCTTAAACCCGAAACCTTATCCCTAAACCTCCAGGTACCTGCTATATAGGGCCCTAGGGGCTCTAGTACCCTATATAGTAGGTACCTGGGGGGTTAGGGCTATTTTTTTAATTGTCAGGCAACTGGCGGAGCCGGGCGCGGATCAGCCCTCCCCCTTCCCCGGAGAAAGAGCCCGAGCCCACAGCGGAGGCAGATTTCCTTATAAAGGGTGCTTTAAGTGTTCGCCTTAAAAGCCTACAGTGCTATAGGTTTCTTGAAGAGGGTTTCCTTGAGAGGGTGCTCTGATCGGGGTTTCTTCAGGGGGGTTCATGTGATGGCTTCCCTTTCAGGGTTCAGGCAGGCTTTGCGCGGTTTCCTTGTATTTGCATGTGCTTTAAGGGTTGCTTCAAGGCTCCGACGTGGTATTTACCCAGGGGCTCCAATGTAGTTCCTTTTTGGCTCTGTTATGGTTTTTTGGTAAGGAATTATAGTATACTAGCCAAAAAGGAACTACATAGGAGCCCTTGGGTAAGAATGGGTTTATACAGGCTCTTACTGGAAGCTGGTACTTACAAGCGTAGGATCTCGGGGGTTGGGTATAGGGCTGAGGGCGTTTAGGGTTTGGGGGTTTAGGGTTTGGGGTTTTGGGGTTTAGGGTTTAGGGCTTAGGGTTAAGGGTTTAGGGCTTTAGCGTTTAGGATTCAATATGTTCAATCGGGGTTTGGGCTTTTGATGTTTGCGTGTTGGCGTTTAGGCCACCCGGGGCAGCCCCCTATGGTGTTTATAAACACTCGAGACCGTATCCTCGAGTTGTTATACGGCCACCATACGGCCTGCATAGACCCAGTAGCTTGAGCGAAGCCTCAATCCTACACTTTCGGCTTGTGGAAAACCTATAGTCTCCATTGAAGTTCATTTTTTGGTTTAACCAATTGTATATATTGAGGATGTTAAAACATATCCCCGAAAAGGAGCTACAATGGAGACTATAGGTACACTATCGGGTTGTGGAAAGCATCTCGCCCCAGCCCACGCAAGGAGGATGATACCACCCGATCGCTGGCGCCTGAGATGGCAGAGGAGCCAGGGCTCAGGATGCAACCTGCTTAGGGTTTAGGGTTTAGG